CCCCCTCCCCAGCATAAGGGGGGAGGGGGAATCACAATCACTCCCCCTCCCCAGCATAAGGGGGGAGGGGGAATCACAATCACTCCCCCTCCCCAGCATAAGGGGGGGGATTATTTCCACACCCCACCCCCGCTCGCCAGTGATTACAGTTAAACCCCTCTCCAATGCAGGAAGACTAATTGCAATTACCTCCCCTCCCCAGTGCAGGAAAGCTGATTACAATGACCACCCCTCTCTCCCTAATACAGGGGGTAATTACAATTACCCCCTGCCCCTCCCCAGTATAAGGGGGGGGATTACAAATACCCCTTCAGCGTGAGAACAAAACTATTTCACCCATCGCCCCGTCCCCCCACCCCCCCGGATCAGTGGCACCGCCATGAACACCGCCCGCTTACCTTGGCCTGTTCCTGGAAGCGGGGACTTGCTGTTTCTCTCTTTCTGTGGGCAGAATTGTTGGCTTTTCATACACATATATAATATATATATATCTGTGTGTGGGGGGGGGTTCGTTTTTTTTTAAAATTTTTTTTCACTCCGAGTTTACTTCCCTCTCTCTGGATATTTATGATTATTCCTTCTTTTTGTTTTGTAGGGTTTTTTTTCGGTTTTTATATATACGTGTGTGTGTGAACCTGCTGAGCTCCCCTCAGGTCAGAGCGGCCAGACTCGCCGCTGGAAAACCCTCCGACTCCCCACAATATGGCGGCGCCGCGCTGCCCGCCAGCCCCGCGCTACAACGAGGCTGCGCCTGCCCGCCCGCACGCCAGTGCACTGCCCCTTTCCGTCCGGAAGAAACACACCCCCTTCCTCTAAAGGAGCCTGCCCGCGGGAAGCTTAAACCTGCTGCACCAGCTGACCAGGCTCTCCTGGTTGTCAGCTGTCCACATCCAGCCCCCAGCCAAACTATTAAAAACTTCTTCTGCGGTCATTGAAAAACACATTCTCACACGGGCAAGCAACCAAATCGCTCATTTTCCACACCAATAAATGCACTTGCGAATCAGTCAGAGACAGCAAGAATTGTTGGAAGATGTACAGGTGAACCCCTGTTAGGATGTGAGAGGTTTACTCTGGGCCTTTGTTGGAGGATGTACAGGTGAACCCCGGCCTCATCCCACATCCCTCTCATCCCTGCCATCTTGGCCTGACACAACATGTCCATCTTTGTGAACAAAAACAGAAGTTGCTGGAAAAGCTCAGCAGGTCTGGCAGCATCTGTGAAGAAAAAATCAGAGTTAGCGTTTCGGGTCTGGTGATCCTTCCTCAGAACTGTCCATCTTCCCCATCCATCCACCCTACCCTTCCCGCCTACCATTCCCTACCTGCACTCACCTATTACCATCCCACCTAACTTTCCCTAGCCCCACCCCTTCTCCCTATTTATTTCCCAGCTCCCTTCCCCCTCCCCGTTTCTGAAGAACAGTCCAGACCCGAAACATCAACTTTCCTACTCCTCTGATGCTGCCTGACCTATTGTGTTCCTCCAGCTCCACACTGTGTCATCACTTTCAAATCAGCAAAGTCTCTTACCCCACCAGAGACACAATAAATGCATTCTCAAATTAGTAGATTATGAATCAATCCCTTCCGTAGAATTCCTACAGTATGGAAGCAGGCCATTCATTCCAACAAGTCCACACTGACCCTTTGAAGAGCACCCAACCCGCTACCCTAACCCTGTAACCCTGCAACTCCCATGGCAGACGCACCTAACCTACATATCTCTGGACACTGTGGGACAATTTAACATAGCCAATCCACCTAACCTGCACATTTTTGGACTGTAGGAGGAAATCGGAGCACCTGGAGGAAACTCACACAAACAAGGGGAGAACATGCAAACTCCACACAGAAATCGAATCTGGGTCACTGGCACAGTGAGGCAGCAGTGCTAACCACTGAGCCACTTTGCCAATCTGTTGAAGGTGACAGGGCAAGTTGCAAAAGTGGTTAATAAGGAATACAGGATGCTGAACTTTATAAATATGGACATAGAGTACAAAATCAAGGAAGTTTCTAAAACACTGGTTCGATTCCAACTGGATTATGGTGTCCAATTCATTAACGAGGGCACAGAAAAGATGCACAAGAATGCTTCCAGGAATGAGTTAACGTGGATGGATAGGAGAAGCTGAGCTTATTCTCTCTGGTGCCCCTTTCTACACTGTAAGATGGATTTTCAAATCAGTAACCTTTCATTTTTCCCACCCCACACAATAAATTTCATCCTTAAATTAGTAAACTATCAAATCTCTCATTTTCTACACAATAAAGTACACTTTCAGTAATGTTTCTTACTCTCCCACTATAAAATTAATTCTCAAACTAGTAAATTATCAAATCTGTCCTTTTCTACTCCATAAAGTGCACTTTCAAATCAGTAACCTCTCTTACACCCCACACAAAAAGATTCATTCACAAATTAGTAGATTAGGTGGCTCAGTGGTTAATATTGCTGCCTCACAGTGCTAGGGACCTGGGTTCAATGCTGCCCTTGGGCAAATGTCTGTGTGGAGTATGTATGTTCTGTATGGGTTTCCTCTGGGTGCTCTGGTTTTGTCCCACAGTCCAAAAATGTGAAGGTTAGGTGGATTGGCCATGCTAAATTGCCCACAGTGTCCAAGGATGTTTAGGTTAGGTGGGGTAAATGTAGGGGAATGGGTCTGGCTGGGTTGCTCTTCAGAGGGGCAATGTGGACTTGTTGGGCCAAATTTCCACACTGTAGGGATTCTATGATTATCAAATTGATCATTTTCTACTTAATTAAATACACATTAAAATCAGTGTGAAATCTTTCTTTTCCCCTAATTTCCTTCTGAAATTAGGCTGTTATCAAAAGTGTCTTTTCCTGTACCATTAAACACACTTTCATACCAGCAAAAACCCTCTTTTCCCCACCACAAAATTCATTTTCTCTTTTTTTACTACATCATTAAATGGACTTTCCAATCAGTTAATCTTTCTCAGGTTAGGAAGTTATCAAATCTCTTTTCTCCTACACCATAAAATGCACTTTGAAATCGGTAAGAAACCTCTCTTTTCCCACACAATAAAATTCATTTTCAAATTAGGAAGGTATCAAAGCTCTCTTTTTCTATACCATTAAATGTGATTTTAAATCAATTTTTAAAAAACCTCTTTTCTCCACAATAAAATGCATCTTATATTAAGCCGTAATTATATTTTTGCTTTTCTGCAATGAAGTGCACTCTCAAATTAATACATTGTTAAATTTCTCTATTTGTACAACAAAAAACTTCCAAAATATTAAAATAATTTACCACGTCTCAATAAATAAAAGTATATTTTCATATCCTGCAAATTGTTACTCAATTATGTTATGCAATTCCAATGCACTTTCAGATGTCTTCAAATTGCTACTCTGCTCATTTTTAAACAAGAAAATACACTGTCAAAACAACAAATTGTTAAAATAATCTTCTTACGTAATAAAAAATACATTCTCCCATTCCTGTTCAACATCTGATTTGTATAAGAAAGACATTGTCAAATCTTCTGAAATTAAATCATCATGCTTCTCTTTACAAGTAAGAATGGTCTCTCAAGTATCCCCTAATTTATTAAACTTTTATATACACCATAATTCTCAAATACCCTCACCTTATTTAAGACATTCACAATACCTTTTAAGGTTTTGGTCACTCTTCCAAATATTACCTTTTCATCAGCACATATTTTAACCTTACCTACTTCATCCAAATTGATCACAAACCACATTGTCTCTGTTGCCACTGAACAAAGTTAGATCAGGATGAGAACGTGAGGTTGACTCTGTCTCACTATAACACAGAAATAATATTCATCTGACATCCATCATAAATCTGTCACAAAGTCTTGTGGCGAAGGGTGAGTGACATAGCATTCGCTGAGACTATAGCCACAAATCTGCACACAGGTGACTCAGGCTACCAGGTTATTTGTTGACTGGAAGGAAACAAAAGATGAACTCAGCAGCCCTTTGAACAACTGATCTATTCTATACATGACCACTCTGCTCAACTCCTTGGAATGATGAAGTGTATAGAAAAGTTGCCAAACATGTTCAATTCACCTCCCCAAGCAACAGGCCACAGGTGACAGGAATCCCATCAACGTGGTTGTATGTCATTCTCAAACAAGGAAGTAAAAGTGATGCCATCCATCATTGGCTCATAGTAAATGCACACGTTCAAAGACAGGGCCGCAGCTGCCAGACCAGAAAGAAGAACTTTTCTCAGTGATCGAAGGTTGGTTTTTTACCAATCCTCTGGTGGTCCCCAGCATTACAGATAACAGTATTCAGCCAATTCAATTCATTCCACGTGGTATCAATAAACAGTTGGAGATGCTGGAAAATGCAAAGGCTATGGGCTCTGACAACATTCCAGTAAAAGTACTGAAGACATGAGCTCCAGAACTTGACTCTCTCTTAGCCAAGCTCTTCCAATACAAGTGCAACACTGCCGCCTATCCAACAATATGGAAAATTGCCTGGGTATGTCCTGTACACAAAAAGCAGGACAAATCCAACCCAGCCAATTACTTCCCCATCAGCCTACTCTTGATCATCAGTAAAGAGATGGAAGGCATTACAACAGTGCTATCAAGCAGCACTTGCTCAGCAAAAGCCTGCACAATGACACCCAATTTGGGTTCAACCAGGGCTACTTAGGTTCTGACCTCATTTCAGTCTTTGTTCAAACATGAACTAAACAGCTGAATTCCAGAGGTGAGGTGAGAGTGACAACCTTTGTCATCAGGGCTGCATTCAACCAAGTGTGGCATCAAAGAGCCCTAGCAAAACAGGAAACACTGGTTGGAGTCATAGCTGGCACATAGGAAGATGGTTGTGGTTGTAGGAGATTGGTCATCTCAGCTCCAGGACATCTCTGCAGGAGTTCCTCAGGGTAGTGTCTTATGCCCAACCATCTTTAGTTGCTTCATCAATGACCTTCCCTCCATCATAGGTCAGAAATGGGGACATTCATCAATGTTCAGTACCAGAAATGATTCCTCAGATACTAAAGCAGTCCATGTTCAAATGCAACAAGATCTGGACAATATCATGATATGGGCTGACAAGTGGTAAGTAACATTCACACCACACAAATGCCAGCCAATGACCAATTCCAGTAAGAGACAATTTAACCACAACCCCTTGACATTCAATGATGTTATCATCACTGAATCCCCCATTATCAACATCCTTGAGGTTACCATTAGCCAGAAATTCAGCTGGACGTGCCACATCAAGATGATGGCTACAAGAGCAGGTCAGAGGCTAAGAATACTAAGAGTAACTCATCTCCTGACCCCGCCGAAGCCTATCCACCATCTACAAAGCACAAGACAGTAGTGTGATGGAATACTCCCCATCTGCCTGGATGGGTGCAGCTTCAACAATGCTCAAGAAGTTTGACACCATCCAGGAAAAAGCAGCCCACTTGATTGGTATCATATCCACAAACATCCACTCCCTCCACCACTGACTGTCAGTAGAAGCAGTTTGTACTATCTACAAGGTGCACTGCAGAAGTTCACCAAACGTTCTTAACCAGCGCCTTCAAAACCTACAACCACTTCCACCCAGAAGGCCAGGGGCAGATACAAGGGAACACCACTACTTCCAAGTTCCCCTTCAAGCCACTCAGTCAAGTACTGACTTGGAAGTATATCGCTGTTCCTTCACTGTCTCTGGGTCAAAATCCTGGAATTGTCTCCCTAAGGGCAGTTGTGGGTCAACCCACTGAAGGTGGGCTGCAGCTGTTCAAGAAGGCAGCT